TTACAGGTGTGAGCCACTGAGCCCGGCCTGGATTTGGACTTTTTAACTAGCCATTTCTAGTCATTTGTTTCCTTCCTTTCCTGTCATTCCTTTGTGCAGAGGTGTGGTTAGTGTATGTTCTTACTGGCAAGAAATGCTAAACTGGCCGGGCATGGTGGCTTACGCCTGTAATCACATCACTTTGGGAGGCTGAGGTGGGAGGATCATTTGAGGCCAGGAATTTGAGACAGGCCATCTGTATAAAACACTTAGCTGGGTGGTGGTACACACCTGTAGTCCTAGATATTCAAGAGGCTGAGACAAGAGGATTGCTTGAGCCCAAGAATTTGAGGCTGCAGTGAGCTGTGATCATACCACTGTACTCTAACCTGGGCAACAGAGTGAGGCTCTGTCTCTTTAAAAACAAAACAAAACAAAAAAACCACCTCATAGTCTCACAGCATTCCCTGAATATGGATGTGTTTGGGGCATTTTCAGTACGTCTCTTTTCAAATTGGCTGCAAGTAGAATGCCTAAGTTTTTTTTTTTTTTTTTTTTTATAGCCACTTAAATTCACTGACTTTTTTTTTTTTAAGCCAGTCAAATTTAGCAGTGGGAGTAACTTTTTTTTAAGTCTTTGAAAAAATAAATTGTAGCAATAGGAATGAACTAAAATGACTTTTTTTTTTTTTTTTTTGAGACAGAGTCTCGCTTTGTTGCCCAGGCTAGAGTGAGTGCCATGGCGTCAGCCTAGCTCACAGCAACCTCAAACTCCTGGGCTCGAGTGATCCTTCTGCCTCAGCCTCCCGGGTAGCTGGGACTACAGGCATGCGCCACCATGCCCGGCTAATTTTTTTATATATATATCAGTTGGCCAATTAATTTCTTTCTATTTATAGTAGAGACGGGGTCTCGCTCTTGCTCAGGCTGGTTTTGAACTCCTGACCTTGAGCAATCCGCCCGCCTCGGCCTCCCAAGAGCTAGGATTACAGGCGTGAGCCACAGCGCCCGGCCTGTAAAATGACTTTTTTAAGATATAAAAGTTTTCATAAATCAAACTGTACTTGATCTAAACAAATGGATAAGCAACAATACCATAATAGTCGGAGACTTTAACACCCCACTGACAGCACAGGACAAATCCTCCAAACAGAAAATCAACAAAGAAATAATGGACTTAAACAGAACCCTAGAACAAATGGGCCTGACTGACATTTACAGGACATTCTACCCCAAAACCACTGAATACGTTCTTCTCATCAGCTCATGGGTCATTCTCTAAGATTGACCATATCCTAGGACACAAAGCACATCTCAAACAATTGAAAAAAATAGAAATAATACCATGTATCTTTTCAGACCACAATGGAATAAATGTAGAAATCAATCCTAACAGGAGTTCTCATTTCTACACAAAATCATGGAAACTAAACAACCTTCTGCTGAATGATCGTTTCATAAACGAGGAAATCAAGATGGAAATCAAAAGATTCTTTGAACTAAATGACAAAGGTGACACAAGTTACCAAAACCTTTGGGACACAGCTAAAGCAGACCTGAGAGGAAGGTTTATTTCCATAAATGCCTATATCCAAAAGTCAAACAGATCACAAATAGACAACCTAATGAGTCATCTCAAAGAGGTGGAAAAAGAAGAACAGACTGACCCCAAACTCAGCAGAACAAATGAAATCATTCAGATCAAATCAGAACTAAATGAAATAGACAACAGGGAAACTATACAGATGATTAATAAAAAGTTGCTTCTTTGAAAAAATATACAAAATTGACACACCTTTGCCTAGACTAACGAAAACCAGAAAAGAAAAATCTCTAATAATCTCCATCAGGAACAATAAAGGAGAAATTACAACTGATGCCACAGATATACAGGATATAATTTATGAATACTACAAAAACCTCTATGCACACAAACTGGAAAATGTGGAGGAAATGGACAATTTCTTAGAAACACACAGCCTCCCTAGGCTCAACCAGGAAGAAATAAAAGTCCTGAACAGACCAGTATCAAGTACAGAAATTGAAACAGCAATAAAAAGCTTTCCTAAAAAGAAAAGTCCTGGACCAGATGGTTTCACACCCAAATTTTACCACACCTACAAAGAACTGGTGCCTATCCTGCAAAAATTATTCCACAACATTGAGAAGGATGGAATCCTCCCTGACACCTTTTATGAAGCGAACATAACCCTGATACCAAAACCAGGAAAGGATGCAACAAAAAAAGAAAACTACAGACCAATATCCCTTATGAATGTAGATGCAAAAATTCTCAACAAAATCCTGGCCAATCGAATCCAGGTGCTTGTCAAGAAAATAATTCATCACAACCAAGTGGGCTTCATCCCAGGGATGTAGGGATGGTTCAACATATGCAAATCTATAAATGTAATTCACCATATAAACAGAAGCAAAAACAAAGACCATATGATCCTCTCAATAGATGGAGAGAAAGCATTTGACAAAATTCAACACCTTTTTATGATAAGAACGCTCAACAAAATAGGCATAGACGGGGCTTGCCTAAAAATGATACAAGCCATATATGACAAACCCACAGCCAATATCATACTGAATGGGGAAAAATTGAAAGCATTCCCACTTAGAACTGGAACAAGACAAGGTTGCCCACTATCTCTGTTCAACATAGTGCTGGAAGTCCTCGCTACAGCAGTCAGACAAGACAGTGGAATTAAGGGCGTCCAAATGGGAGCAGAAGAGATCAAACTCTCACTCTTTGCTGATGACATGATATTATACCTAGAAAACCCCACAGATTCAACTAAGAGACTCCTTGAATTGATAAATGAATTTGGTAAAGTCTCGGGATACAAAATCAATACACAGAAATCAGAGGCATTCATATACGCCAACAATAGTAAAAGTGAGAACCAAATCAAAGACTCATTTCCCTTCAAAATAACAACAAAGAAAATAAAGTACCTTGGAATATATTTAACTACGGAGGGAACAGACCTCTACAGGGAGAACTATGAAACACTGAAGAAGGAAATAGCAGAGGACATAAACAGATAGAAGAATATACCATGCTCATGGGTCGGCAGAATCAACATTGTTAAAATGTCTATACTACCCAAAGTGACCTACAGAGTCAATGCAATCCCCATTAAAATACCATCATCATTTTTCACAGATATAGAAAAAATAATTTTACTCTTTGTATGGAACCAGAGAAGATCCCGTATAGCAAAATCAATCCTAGGCAATAAAAACAAAATAGGAGGTATCAATTTACCAAACTTCAAACTATACTACAAGGCTATAGTCATTAAAACAGCATGGGATTGGCACAAGAACAGGGACATTGACCAGTGGAACAGAACAGAGAACCCAGATATAAAACCATCCTCATATAGCCAACTAATCTTCGACAAAAACATACACTGGGGAAAAGAATCCTTACTCAATAAATGGTGCTGGGAAAACTGGATAGACACATGTAGAAGACTGAAACAAGACCCACACCTTTCACCTCTCATAGAAGTCAACTCACGCTGGGTAACAGACTTGAACCTTAGGTGTGAAACTATTAGAATTCTAGAGGAAAATGTTGGAAATACCCTTCTAGACATTGGCCGAGGCAAAGAATTTATGAAGAAGACCCCAAAGGCAATCACAACAGCAATAAAAATAAACAAATGGGACCTGATCAAATCAAAAAGCTTCTACACAGCCAAAGAAACTGTCAAGAGAGCAAACAGACAACCCACAGAATGGGAGAAAATTTTTGGAAGCTACACATCTGATAAAGGGCTGATAACTAGAATCTATTTAGAACTCAGGAAAATCATCAAGGAAAAATCAAACAACCCTATCAAAAATGGGCAAAGGACATGAACAGAACTTCTCAAAAGAAACAGAATAATGGCCAACAAACATATGAAAAATGTTCAACATCTCTAATCATCAGGGAAATGCAACTCAATCACATGAGATATCATTTAACTCCAGTGAAAATGGCCTTTATCAAAAAGTCCCCAAACAATAAATGCTGGCGTGAATACAGAGAGAGAGGAACACTTCTGCACTGCTGGTGGGACTGCAAACTAGTTCAACCTCTGTGGAAAGCAGTATGGAGATACCTCAAAGCGATATAAGTAGATCTACCATTTGATATAGCAATTCCACTACTGGGCATCTACCCAAAGATCAAAATCACTTTATGAAAAGACACCTGCACTTGAATGTTTATAGCAGCACAATTCACAATTGCAAAGCTGAACCAACCAAGTGCCATCAATTCATGAATGGATTATAAAATGTGGTATATGTATACCATGGAATACTACTCAGCTTTAAGAAACAGTGGTGACATAGCACCTCTTGTATATTCCTGGATAGAGCTGGAACCCATTCTACTAAGTGAAGTATCTCAAGAATGGAAAAACCAGCACCACATGTACTCACCAGCAAATTGGTATTAACGGATCAACACCTAAGTGGACATATAGGAGTAACATTTATCACGTGTCAGGAGGGGGGAAGAGGGGGATGGGTATATACAACCAAACGAGTAAGGTGTGCACCATTTGGGGGATGGACACGCTTGAAGCTCTTACTGGGGGGGGGCATGGGCAATATATGTAACCTTAACACGTGTACCCCCATAATACGCTAAAGTAAGAAAAATTTAAATGTTAAAAAAAAAAGATGTTAAAAGTAATAAAGTTTATTTTATTTTTTAGAAGGACAGAGAGAATATGAGAGAGAGAAAGAAGGGGGCAGAAAGCAGGGAGACAGTGTGACATCCCAAAGAAAGAGAAGGGAAATGCCAGCAACTAGGCCATGTGGCTTGCTGCTTTCGTTGGGTGAAATGACTTTTTTAACCTCATTTCAATTCATAAGCTTATAGTAAAGATGCCTTAAGATGTTTTGAATATTTATTCTAAAAGGATCCTTTTCAGCCCAACTGAGGACTAAATTATTTGTGAGAAATGTTATGTGTCTTCACTGATTCTAAATATGTATTTTTATTTCAGGCACGCGTGGTTCTCAAATATAGGCATTCAGATGGGAGTTTGTGTATTAAAGTAACAGATGATTTAGTTGTAAGTATACATTTTTATTTGTTGCATACTCTCAGATTTGTTAGAGTTAATTATTTGTAATTATTTACTTAGGATTTATGCTTATTTTGCATTTCATTCCAAAATAAAGAATTTCATTTTAAAAGCTACTTTTATAGACCCTCAGGAAATAATTTAATCTGCTTTATTAGTGTAGTATGTTGAGCGTAGTTTAATAATTTTTCTCTTCAGACCTTAAGCAAGAGGAATGTCGTGATCAAAATTGGACGTGAGTTTCCTTGGAGGGTATTTGAACACCAGTTGTAGTCTTTATTGTTATGTCTCTTTCCTGCCCTTGATCTGCCCACTCTTGTTACTTTCTCATATCCCATTCATTCCTTAACCCTCAGCCATCTGACTTCTACTGTAGTATTCCACTGAACCTGTCTTGGTGTGAGCGCATCAGCAGGGCCTTTATTTCCAAACCCAGTGTTCTCGTCAGTTCATATCTTACTTAACCTCCTTGATGCTTTTGATACCAAGAAATACTTTTTCATGGAAATTATTATTTTGGCACTTGTAGCTCCATTTTATTTTGGCTTTCTTGTTCTACGTTCTGTTGTTTCTTTCTTCTTTGCTAATTATTTCTTCCTTGTGCCCCCATAAATATTTGTTTCCCCAGGATTCTGTCTTTGGTTGTCTTTTTTTTTTTTTTTTTTAATTTTTTTTTTGAGACAGAGTCTCACTTTTTGTTGCCCAGGCTAGAGTGAGTGCCGTGGCGTCAGCCTAGCTCACAGCAACCTCAAACTCCTGGGCTCAAGCGATCCTCCTGCCTCAGCCTCCCGAGTAGCTGGGACCACAGGCATGCACCACCATGCCCGGCTAATTTTTTGTATATATACTTTTAGTTGGTCAATTAATTTCTTTCTATTTTTTTAGTAGAGACGGGGTCTCGCTCAGGCTGGTTTCGAACTCCCGACCTTGAGCAATCCGCCCGCCTCGGCCTCCCAGAGTGCTAGGATTACAGGCGTGAGCCACCGCGCCCGGCCTGGTTGTCTTTTCATACCACTTCTTTGGGAGCAGTCTATTTAGTCAAGTCCAGTGCCACCTGTATCTATCTCTATATGGAGATTTATGTGTGTAGCTTATATTTTTCTTCTGACTTCCTGATGAGCTCTGTGTCGAGCACCCTTACCTCACACACCACTCAGAGTTAGCTGTCGAGAGTGAAATTTGTCATCTCTGCTCAAACCAGTTTCTTCTGTTCCTACTTTTAGTTGCACTATCTTCCACCTGATTAGAAACGTGGGAATTGTGTTTGTCCCTTCTTTTCCTTCATTCTCATGTCCACTCTTATTTGAAAAGCTTGAATTGATCTCCTACAACACCATACTACACTTTTCTAGACATTTGGAATTTTTGATTCAAGCTCCTTAATCTCGTTTTCTGTTGTGAACACTCCATCTTCACTGTTACTCTCTTGTTTAGGATTGCATCACTTGCCTAGAATAGTCTCCTAACCGTATCTCTGCTTTGAGTTCATTTTTGTACTGCTGCCAGAATGATTCTTAAACGTGAGAATTTGATCATTACTCCCTTGCTTAAAAGCCTGTAAACTCCACCCTCACATCCCCTTTGATCTCTGTCTTTTTGTATTACTTAAGAGCCCCTGTAGTATGCTATGCGGTCTTAGGCCTCTGTGCCTTTGAACATTGTGCCTGTCTCTTCCTTTGCAGCACTGAATCCCCCCCTGACCCCACTGTGGCAAGACTGCTACTTACCTTTCAGAACTCGACTCGAGGATCATTTCATCTCTTTTCTTTTTGGCTCTTTTTGTGCTGTATCACAGTTCTTTTATCACATATATCTTTTTAATAGACTGTGAACTTTAAGACAATAGAGATAGGTCAGTAATATTCTTACCTGTACCCTCTGTGATGTCTTGATCCAGAGGATACTCAGTAAACATTTAAAAAATAGATTCGTTGTTTTAAAATTTTTATAGTGTGATTTTTAAAATCACTTTTTGCCTTTGGTCATATACTATATTTGTGTTCAAGCTTCCATTTCGAGGTTGCATGAAATCAGTCCTTTTAATGATTACCATGTCTTCTAAGACCCATTTGAGTTTGGTGATGTAACTGAACATGTGAAAAGCAAGAGTAAATTGAGGTGTAGTGTGTTATTCAAGAGATTTGAATCCCAGCCTAGCCATTTACTAGTGTTTTGGCCTTGGAAATGTTTGGACTAAGAGTTTGGCATTTGGGGTCCCAATTTCCTCATCTATAAAGTCTTATAGTGATAGTCTACTTATCTGACAGGGTTGTTTTGGAAAGTAAACAAACTATATAAAAGTACCCAGCATTAGTGCTTGCCACTGGTAGATTCAATAAATGAATTCTTGAATCTTGAGCGTTCCATATTGAGAAAAATTTAATTGTGATTGTCACATAGTGGTTAGGTATGCTTGCTAAAGAGAAGTCCATATGTCCTGTTTTAAAAATAGGAGGGAATGCAGAATTAATTTTAATACAAAAGGCTTTATCTACAATTGATGTTTTTCACCCCTGGTAATGATTAAACATACTTAAGGATCCATGTTAAACAATATCAGAAAGAACTTTTATTTAAGATTGCTGATTCCTGTGACAAGATCAAAATATGAAAAATACTTTTTGTTTCCTTTCTTAAAACTGTTGAGAATTAGTTCATATCTCAAAGAGACCAAAGATGTAATTAGAACATCCTCTTAAATTGGAGATTTATAAATCCCCAACAGTTAAAATCTATTTTCTGATGGCTCTTTTAAAGAAAAGTGACTTCATTGTTTATTATCACCATATAATTTTGACTTTTTAATAATCTCATAATGCATAATTTTTTCTAATCTCATGACTGATTTATAATATTCTATGAACCTAAAATCTTTTTCTATCAGAAACTATAGTGAGAAGGTATGTACATTCTCCCAAGCACATAGGCTAAAATTGAAGGATGAAGATTAGTATAGCTTCTTTACAGGAGTGCCATGCAAGATAAACATTTGTAAAATGTGAATAATTTAAAGGCTGAATGAATTCAGATAAGTTGGACACGATGAGGTTGAACTCCATGTTATTTAGTTTGATGACCATTATTACAGGATCATTAGTTCCTATTGTTTAAAACTCATGTGAAGCTAAAGAAAAATGGGTCTATATTACAAAATGAAGAAGGTGCCAGCTTAAAGCTGATATTTTTGAATATTCTAGAACAGATAGTTTTATGACCAAGCAGAAGTGAATCTTTTCACTTTTTTTTTTTTTATTATTTTTAATTTTTTGTGGTGACAGGATCTTGCTGTCACCCAAGCTTGAGTGAAGTGGCACAATCATAGCTCGCTGCAGCCTAGAACTCCTAGCCTCATGTGATCCTCCTGCCTCAGCCTCCCAAGTAGCTCGGACTGCAGGCACGTGCCACCATACTTAGCCTAAGTTTTTTTTGTTGTTGTCTTTTGTGTGTGTGTGTGTGTGTGTGTGTGTGTGTGTGGAGACAGACTCTCACTATATTGCCTGGGCTGTCTTGAACTCCTGGCCTCAAGTGTTCCTCCTGCCTCTGCCTCTCAGAGTGCTGGGATTACAGGTGCGAGGCACATATGCCCAGCCACAATAAGCAAATCTTAGGTATCTGTCTAACGAAGAATTTGGTTTGGTTTAAAAATTATAATAAATGCCTTCAGAAAATTAAGATTAACAAATTCGTCTGATTTAACTTAGGTGTTGACTAGCTATAAGCAGGGAATTCTAGGGTTGTTTTTTTTTCAATTATCATTGAACACCCAATTTCACCAATAAAGAAAGGCATCCTAGGTTTCTAAACTTTTTCCCAGCAAAACTCTGCTACTTATGGACAGATCCCTGGGAGAAAATATCTAATTCTAAGCCTTGAGTTCTTATCAACAGACCATGGCAAGATTTAATGTATTATTTAACTGGTCATTTTTTAGAAGCTTCTGATAGACTTCATTTGGTTTTCATCCATACCAGTGGCATTTAAAATACTGTACTTTAAGGAATGTAATTGTTGGAGGCTTGGAAACTTGAGTACAATTTCCTTAGTATGACTCCCAAAGACAATAGAACAAAACAATGGTGGGAAAGACTCTCAAATTTTTATCCAATTATATCTTTTCTACATTGCCCATTACTAGTTTTACATGGTTAACATGTACTTTTAAAATTTGACAGTGTTTGATGTATAGAACAGACCAAGCTCAAGATGTGAAGAAGATTGAGAAATTCCACAGTCAACTAATGCGACTTATGGTAGCCAAGGAATCCCGCAGTGTTGCCATGGAAGCAGACTGAATGGTTTGAAATGAAGATTCTGTCATGTTAGGAAGTAAATATCTTTTGAATTTGAGAAAATGTTGGAACAGAAACTACTTTATGTAACTAAGTGGAGTATTCAAAAGCCAAGAGATCATTTTTTGTATTTTCTTTTTAATGTTTACTTTAGAGAGCTAGGAATGTAAATGGTTTAAATTAGAAAACCTTTATTTATTTTTGGAAATTGAACAAGAATTACATCTATCTTGGAAACTTTTTGTGGATTGTTTGATGTTGGGTAAAATATATAATTCTTTGATAAATTTGTATCAGTAATTTGAAAATGAGATATCAAGAAAAGCCAGTTCTTCCATCAATTTAGTTGCTCTATCTTTAAAAGAAAATGAAATGTAACCATTTTGATAGATCAATATATTTCTTTTGGAACATAAAATTTGTGCTGTTGATGACCAAGAAATATAAAATATGGTAACTGGAATTAACTGTATACCATAATATACCTGATTATGTATAATAGTGTAGTCTTATTATATCTTAAAAAGTAAAAATGAGTAACAAGTATGCTTTACCTTAATCTTTCCAGATTTAAGCTATAATTTTTAGTGTAAGAGATTTGTGGTATCATCACCTTATTGAGCAATGACTAGCTTTGCAAAAACTGGTTTTCAGTGATCAGAAACAACAGCAGTTATTTGAATGCATGAATGGAATGGTAATCATTATAATGGACTGAAACCACCATAGTACAGAAATATTTACTACATATTTTTCAGCTATAGTTTCTCAGAAGGGCTAAGGATTATTCAAACCATTAAATCTTTGCTTACCTCAGACACCCCTGCCCGTTTTCTCTCTTTACTTAACTAAGCATGACTGTCACAACTGTTATATTTTCCAGTAAACCATAAATGTGGTATTATTTGATATTTATCTTATATTTGTAAGCTGAATTTTGCCACCTAAATGTAACGTTCACATGCTGATTCTTCAAGAATAAAATGAAGGCACTACCTTAAAATAGCTTTTGAAGAAATTTGTCATGTTCACCAATATGTTAGCATAGGAAGTTCTATTAACCATATGAATTTTGGGATGTTTCAGAGAAGTCAGCAAATAAAATACTACACAAATATATATTGTTTGTTGACCTTTTTAACTTCTCAAGAATTACTGATTTCTTGACTGAGATAACTATATAGTCTAAAGTGAACTTAGTGATATTGAAAGTAAGTTTTTTTGGTTGTTATTTTTGTTTCTTAGTACTTTTTATCATGTGACTTTTTCTGAGCTGTATGTTGATGACATGGTTGTTTCCTTGAATTAGGAAAGTAGCATCATGCAGTGTAGGGTTATTTTGGCTTTGGATTTTTTCCCCCCCAGAATTAATGGATCACTATAGTTGTGGGGGAAGTTCAGCCTTTTTTTTCTCATTTTCATCTACTTTTTAACACTGTGGAGATGACCTGGAAGGGAAGGACTGGTGTTTGGGTTCCTTGTAACCTGTAGCAGAGTGGTTAAGAGCAGAGATTCCAAGTCAGACTGCCTGGGTTGTAATCTTGGCTCCACCTTTTCCCAACTCTGTGGTCTTAGACAAGATACTTCTTTCAGCCTTCATTTTCTTCTCTGGAAATGGGGCAAACAATCTTATCTTCCTTGTAGGACTACTAGGATTAAATGGCATGATCCATTTTAAGCTTTTGACACAGTGCTTAGAATGTAGTAAAGCTTAATAAATTGTAGTGGCTATCATTGTTTTGATTCCTATTTTTCAGGGGAGAGGGTATAAGTAACCAGCTCTTACTATGTTTTCTCATAATTTTAAAGGAGTAAGATTATTTACAGGTAATATCTGCTTTTTCTGCTGAGCTATGCCGTTTATTAAATGTCATTTTTTTTGTAGTTGGGAAACAAAACAAAACTGCCTCCATGGAAAATGTGCTTTTTGTGCTTATGTGGGGGGAAATTGAAATCCTTAAATTTAAAGCTTGTGTTTGTGTCTGTACAAAATAAAATAATTAAGAGAACTAATTGATGATAAAAAGTATTGAGCCTCTTAAAGATCATTTATTGCAGTGATGTATACCCTGAGTATTTTCTTTTATCAGGAAGTATTTCTATATGCTATAATCACATGTTCTTGGTTTTATTTATTATTTTTATTTTTATCCAACTGTTTTTGTGATATATTTGATCAAATGCTGCTAACTCTAGGGTAATCCAAATAGTCACTATAGTAATTGAGATTCTTGGTACAGTTAGCAGTTCAGATAATTTCATTTTGTTCTTCTCGTGCAAAGATCTCTCTTCTTTGAGTACAGAGCTCATTAAATGATGCTATTAGGCTACATATGTTCTCTATCGTGAAGGGTAAGCTTCTCCCTTTCAGGGATTACCTAGCCTGCGACTCCTTTTTCTTTTTTTTTGGAGACAAGATCTTGCTCTGTTGCCCTGGCTAGTGTGCAGTGGAGTCATCACAGTTCACTGTAACTTCAAACTTTTGGACTCAAGTTAGCCTCCTGAGTAGCTGGGACTATAGGCACACTCCACCGTGCCTGGCCAATTTTTCTATTTTTTGTAGGGACAAGGTCTCACTTTTGCTCAGGCTGGTCTTAAACTCCTGGCCTTAAGTGATCCTCCTGCCTTGGCCTCCCAGAGTGCTGGGATTAGAGGCATGAGCCACTATACCCAGCCACCTGCCAATTTCTTAATCTTAAAAATATAAAATCCATTAGTCATAGCTTCAAGTCATTTATTAGAGGCAGTGTTGGCAGGATTTTATAGTTGGTGTCTTCTGTTACTCTTTGAAAAATCTAACATTAACAACTGTATGATGGTAATAGTCTTGAAAATATTATCAACTAATTTAAAATGAATGAAATGTGAGAGAAGTTAATTGTCCAAGAACAGTAAGCAGGAGGTTTTATCTTATCTGTCTACTAAAAATAAAAGAGAAAACCAAATTCCTATAATGGTGTTGCACCCCAATTGTTTTTCTCTTTAACTAAATGCCTTATAGCAATAATGGCAATGTTAATAGTATTTAGTATTTTTTCTCTTAAAAGAGAGAAAATGTTTAGTCCCATGATTAAAATTAATGATGTTGCCAGAGATAAATATATTTTATTCTTCTTTCTTTTATTCTTTTTTTTTTTTTGAGACATAGTCTTAATCTGTTGCCCAGGCTAGAGTACCATGGTGTCAGCCTAGCTCACAGCAACCTTAAACTCCTGGGCTCAAGCGATCCTTCTGCCTCAGCCTCCTGAGTAGCTGGGACTACAGGCATGCGCCACCATACCCCGCTAATTTTTTTTCTATATATTTTTAGTTGGCCAATTAATTTCTTTCTATTTTTAGTAGAGACAGGGTCTCACTCTTGCTCAGGCTGGTTTTGAAATCCTGACCTTGAGCGATCCGCCCGCCTTGGCCTCCCAGAGTGCTAGGATTACAGCGTGAGCCACCGTGCCCAGCCCCTCTTTCTTATATTCAAAGTACTACAGGTTAAGTATCCGTAACCTAAATTCTGAAACTTTTTGAGCACTGACATGATTCTCAAAGGAAACTCATTGAAGCATTCAGATTTTCAGATTAGGGGTGTTTAACCAATAATTACAATGCACATAATTCCCAAATCTGAAACACTTCTGGTCCCATGCCTTTCAGATAAGATATACTCAACCTGTAGCTGAGCTGGTTCCAGATAAGATGGAGTAAGCATGTTCCACTGTGGCTTTCCCACTGTGAATGCATGTACCATTTATAGACTCACAAAAGAAAATAGTAGCAGGTAGATTCAGAAGATCTCTAGAATTTGAAGTACCACTAAACCAGTGATGAGTCTACCATTTTTCCTCACTGGTATCCCTCAAGCCAGAACTCAACACATTGGAAACCTGGAAGTGAGTATTCTATGTCCCCTTACATCCCACTCTCTAAGCAATCCCATGGTGGTGACAGTGTCAACTACTGGCAGTGGGACCCTGCATAAACCAAACTCTCAGAGAGAGGACACACTCTGCCTCTCTTCTCTCTCTCTTTTTTTTTTTTTGAGACAAAGTCTCACTCAGCCTCTCTTTTTTTTTTTTTTTTGAGACAAAGTCTCACTCAGCCACCCAGGGTAGAGTGCAGTGGCATCATCATAAACTCCTGGGCTCAAGTGGTCCTCCTTCAGCCTCCTGAGTAGCTGGGACTACAGGTACACACCACCACACCTGGCTAATTTTTACTATTTTTGGTAGAGATGAGGTCTTGCTCTTGCTCAGGCTATTCTCAAACTCCTGATCTCCAGTGATCCTCCCACCTTGGCCTCCCAGAGTGTCAGGGTTACAGGTGTGAGCCACCAAGCCTGGCCTCTCCCTCTCTTCAGTAGAGCTGTGATTCCAAAAGGGTGGAGCCAGTTCCCCTTGCTTTTTTTCTTGGTGTGTCCCTGGACATAGGCACAATGGCAAAAGTACACAAAGTAACTAAGGCCTCAGTCTTTCTGCCAGAGAATCAATAGAACCAAAAAGTATTGGGGAGATCACAGAGAGGAAGCAACTCGGTCACACAAAAGCAATATCATAAAGTTGTTCATGAACCCCTGGTTCACCCCCAAGTTTCACATGTGTATGGATCTGATGCATACCAAAGATTTTGAGAACTGAGCTAACAGACCACTACCCAGATCCCAGACTGGCGACTTGGAGATGTTCACATGGGATAGACCCACAGAGCATTGCAAAAGTTTGTTTTGAAAGTTGAACTGACATTGGAATCACAGCTCACTTCACAGAAGGCAGGTTGAAACTTGAGGCCTGAACCTAACAATGTTGCCTGCTAAATCAAACTAAAGCTTATAATCTCTGTGGGATTTAAACAAGACCCAGAGTTTAATAACAATATTCAAAATGTGAAGGATCCATAATTACTCAGCATACCAGGAAATGGGAACTCTTATAGGAAAAGAAAATCAACAAGATTCCAGCACTGAGCTGTCACAGTTGTTAGAATTATCTGACAAACATTAAAGCAGCTGTTATAAAAGTGCTCCAATAAGTAAACACGAACACTCTTGAAACCAATGGAAGAAAATCTCAGCAAAGACATAAAAGATATGGAAAAAGAACCAAATAGAAATTCGAGCACTGAAAAACAGTAACCAAAAAACATTTTTGCTTTTTTTGAGATGAGGCCTTGCTATATCACCCAGCCCAGTCTCAAACTCATGGGCTCAAATGATCTTCCTGCCTGAACCTCCCAAGTAGCTGGGACTACAGATGTGTGCTACCATGCCCTGCTAATTTATTTTTTAATTATTTTTAGAGACGAGGTCTTTGCTATGTTGCCCAGGCTGGTCTTGAACTCCTAGCCTTAAGTGATCCTACTGCCTCAGCCTCCTGAGTAGCTGGCATAATAGGCACAAGCCTGGCCTGGCCATTAACCAAGGTTTAAAATTCACTGAATAGTCTCTGGCAGAATGGAGGAAAGATTCTTCAGTTTTAGAAGTAGGGTGCTAAAACATCAATTGGAAGCTCTATGTGTGGTAGGTAGTAGCCTGGTTGCCCTCAGTGGAGGGTGGTCAAATAGGGAGGCAGCTGTTTTGTTATGGGACCCCTGGATATCATTATCTGTAGATCTTTTCTTTCGGACTGTTCATTTATGTCACAGACAAATCTTCCAGCTCCTGGCTGGGGGTTATTACCTGGAGACTGGTGTTCTGTGAACCCAGAGTGGGAAGGTGCTGAGAGTGGAACGGTGCTTTACTGTTTTCGGTTGGGTACATCCCTGTACCCATTCTACTTGTGCCTTGTGCTCCTGGGTTGGAAACCTCTCAATTCAGTTTCCAGAAAATAAAACCCTCGTCTGCAAGGTGAGGAGGGCCGGTCACTAGCCTGGGGCAAGGACAAGGATCAGGGGATATAACTTTTTATACAGACTTTAATTCTTTTCTTTTTTTAATATTTTAAAAATTGTGATGGCCAGGTGCAGTAGCTCACACCTATAACCCTAGCATCTGGGAGGCCGAGGCTGGAGGATCGTTCAAGGTCAGGAGTTCCAAACCAGTCTGAGCAAGAGCGAGACCCTATCTCTATTAAAAATAGAAATTAATTGGCCAACTAAAAATATATAGAAAAAAATTAGCCAGGCATGGTGCCACATGCCTGTAGTCCCAGCTACTCAGGAGGCTGAGGCAGAAGGATTGTTTGAGCCTAGGAGTTTGAGGTTGCTGTGAGCTAGGCTGACGCCACGGCATTCTAGCCCAGGCTGCAGAGTGAGACTCTGTCTCAACAACAAAAAGATATGCAATACATAAAATTTACCATCTTAACCATTTTTAACACATTAACTGCTATGTGAGTTGCATTTAACTCACACTGGTTTTGTGCCCAGGGCCTTGTGAAGCACATGTAACTCACACGTCTCTTCACCTTGGGAGCCACGTGAACTATTTTTCAAGTTGCATGTAACTCACACACAGAAAAAAATAAAAAATTTTTCCTTAAGTTAGAAAGGATCATTTTGTTTTCGATGTTTTTTTTTCTATCTTTATAACAAAACATCGTGGCACCAAGGGAAAAAAAAATTTTTTCTAGTGCAGCAGTCAATGTGTTAAGAGTTCATCTCAGTAGCATTAAGTATATTCTCTCTGTTGTGGAACCATCACCATCATCCATCTCCAGAACTGTTTTAATCTTGCAAAGCTGAAACGCTGCTCCACTAAACTACCTCCCCATTCCCCTCTCCCCTAGTCTCTGGCAACCACAGTTCCACTTTCTGTCTCCATGAATTTGACTCCTTTCTGTCTCCATGAATTTGGTGCCTCAGGTAAATGGCATCATACAGTGTTCACCTTTTTGTGACTGGCTTATTGCATTTAGCATAATATCTTCAAGGTTTGTCCATGTTGCATGTATCAGAATTTCTTCATTTTTAAGGTTAAATAATATTTCATTATAGAGATATAGTCTATTCTGTTTATTCTGTCATCTCTCAATTTACACTTGGGTTGCATTCACCTTTTGTCTATTGTAAATAATGTTGATGGGGCATGGGTATACAAATATCTCTTGGAGACACTGCTATCAATTCTTTTGGTTGTCACCCAGAGGTAGAATTGCTGGATCATATGGTGATTATATGCTAATTTTCTGAATAATCTCCATATTGTTTTGCATAGCAGCTTCATCATTTTACCTGCTCACTAAGAGTGCAGAAGGGTTCCATGTTCTCCACATCCTTACCAACACTTGATATTTTCTTTTGTTTTGATAGTAGCCATCCTAACGGGTATGAGGTGGTATTCATGGCGGTTTTGATTTGTATTTCCCTAATGATTAGTCATTTGAACATCTTTCCATGTATTTATTGGCCATTTGTATATCTTCTTTGGAAAATGTCTACTCGAGTCCTTTACCCATTTTTTAATCAGGTTGGCCTTTTTAAAAAAATTCTATTGATATATAATAGTTGTACATATTTATGGGATACATATGACATTTTGTTATAAGAATACAATGGGTAATGATCAAATCTGGGCAAGTTGGATATCTATCACTTCAAACATTTATCATTTCTTTGTGTTGGGAACACTCTAAATCTTCTATTTTGAAATATACAAGGACTTAAATTATTAACTATAGTCATCTTATTGTGCTACCAAACACTAGATAGGTTTTATTCCTTTGTACCCATTAACCAACCCCTCTGTGTCCCACCTCCCCACTACCCTCTCCAGCATCTCATAACCACTATTCTTTTCACTACCTACATGATGTCAATGTTTTAGCTCTCACATATGAGTGAGAACATGTGATATTTGTCTTTCTTTGCTTGGCTTATTTCACTTAACATAATGTCCCCTTCAGTTCCATCCATGTTGCTACAAATGACAGGATTTCATCCTTTTTTATGTCTAAAAAATATTCCATTTGTATATGTGCCACATTTTCTTTATCTAGTCTTCTGTTGATGGACACTTAGGTTGATTCCATGTTTTGGCTATTGTGTAATGCTGAAATAAACATGAGAATAGAGACATCTCTTCAGTATAATGATTTCCTTTCTTTTTGGTATATATCCAGCAATGAGACTGCTGGATCATATGTTAGTTCTATTTTTAGTTGGTTGAGGAACCTCCGAACTGTTTTCTATAGTGGTTGTACTAATTTACACTCCTACTAACAGTGTATAAGAGTTCTTCTTTCTCCACATCCTTGCTAGCATCTGTTATTTTCTGTCTTTTTGATAATAGCCACTTTAACTGGGGTGATATGATATCTCATTATTGTTTTGATTTGCTTTTCCCTGATGATTAGTGATGTTGACCATTTTTTCCATGTACCTGTTGGCCATTTATATATCTTCTTTTGAGAAATGTCTATTCTTTTGCCCATTTTAAAATCAAATTATTTGGGGTTTTTGCTATTGAGTTGTTGGAGCTTCTTATATATACTAGTTATTAATCCTCCCTTGTTGATGGATAGTTTGCAGATATTTTCTCCCATTCTGTAGGTTGTTTCTTTACTCTGATGATTTTTTCCTTTACTGTGCAGAAGCTTTTTAGTTTGATGTGATCTCATTTGCCAATTTTTGCTTTGGTTGCCTGTGCTTTTGTGTCTTACTCAAGAAATCTTTACCCAAACCAATGTCCTGAAGCGTTTCCCCAATGTTTTCTTTTAGTAGTTTCATGGTTTCAGGTCCTAAATTTAAGTCTTTAATCCATTTTGATTTTATTTGATTTGTGTGGGAGATAGAGGTTTAGTTTTATTCTTCTGCATGAGTATATTCAGTTTTCCCAGCACCATTTATTGAAGATACTGTCCTTTCCTCAATGTATGTTCTTGGCACTTTTGTCAAAAATGAATTGGCTGTAAATGCATGGATTTATTTTTCAGTCATCTATGCTGTTCCAATGGTCTATGGGTCTGTTTTTATGCCAGTACCATGCTGTTTTGGTTACTATAGCTTTGTAATATATTTTAAAGTCAGATAATGTGATGCCTACAGCTTTGTTCTTTTTGCTCAATATTGCTTTGCCTATTCTGTGTCTTTTGTGGTTCCATATGAATTTCAGGATTGTTTTTTTCGTTTTCGGGAAGAATGTTATTGGTAGTTTGATAGGGATTGCATTGAAACACCTGCACTTCTGAGCATACGAAGGGATGTCAGCGGGAATCAGGAGGTACCTAGGGGTGTTACCCAAGGTGAAGGGGCAGGTTTTCTAATGATGAGGGTCCCGGCCGCTGCCTACCGCTCTTGCAGAAGCCAGAAGAGCCCCAGCAACCACTGGCCTGGGCCTCAAGCTCCTTGCAAACGGGAGGAGATTTACTCAGTTCAGCGTCTACACCCCTAGTCCTCACCACGAAGACCTAAGCGTGCTTAAGACAACTTTGTTTTCAAATTGCCCAATCTGTCACGGACCAATACTTTGGAAAAATACAGTGACTTGCTAGAAAAATGAAATTAAAAAGACAAAGTTAGGGGAGCAAATTGCAGCAGGAGTTGCCAGCGCTCCTCTCTCCATTTCTGGACTCGGGCCCGCGGACCCCGAGCGGCGGTTTTTGCCCAGCCGAGGTGCAGCGTGCGGGAGGGGGAGAGGCTGTCCCAGGTCGCGCAGGTAACCTGGGGCGGAGGGCGCGGGGCCCTGCAGGCGGGAACGCCCCGCTCGGAGGCCGGGCCTGGGCGGGGCAGCGTCGGGGCGTCGGGAGACTCGCCGAGGAGGAGCCAGGGAGCCGGAGGGACCGCGCCGCCGCCGGAGCCTGCGAGCCGAGACCGTAAGCGCCGGGCGCCCAGGCCGCGCAGGCGGGTGCGGCTCCGCGGGCGGGGGCCGCGGGCGGGCGGGCGGCGGGGCCGGGCGGGCCGAGGGAAGGCGCCGCGGTCGGCCCGCGCCGCCCCGCCAGGACTGCAGTGGGACTTGCAGGCAGGCCACCCGGCGCCACCCTGGGCCGAGGGACTCACGTGCCCTCCGCTGGCGCACAGCCGTCCGGCCTGCAGTGCGCGCGGCCGCGGAGGAGCCGGCGCGGGTCCTGCGGGCCGAGCCGCACCACCCGGCAGGGGGTTCCTCCGGCCCGACGGCGTGGGCGGGCACGACAGGGCCTGGGCTTGCGGCCCCCGCAGCGCGCCGGTCCCCTTGCCTGGGTCTCCTGGCGAGCATTGCTCCCAGGGGTGTGTCTCGCTCCCACAGTGACATGCACTTGTTTGTCACCCAAGCCCTATGACCGATCGCATCTGTTAGTTGAGATGCACTTTCTTTTTTTTTTTTTTCTTTTTTTTTTTTCTTTTGGCATATTATGGGGGTACAGATTTTAAGGTTTCAATAAATGCCCATTTCCCCCTCCCCCAAAAGTCTGAGTCTCCATCATGACCATCCCCAGATGGTGCACATCTCACTCATTATGTATGTATATACCACCCCCCTCCCCCCTCCCCCCTGCCCAATACCCTATTACTGTAGTACCTATGTGTCCACTTAGGTGCTACTCAGTTAATACCAGTTTTCTGGAGAATATATCTGGTGCTGTTTCTCCATTCTTGGGATACTCACTTAGTAGTATGGGTTCCAGCTCTAACCAGGAAAATATAAGATGTGCTATATCACCATTGTTTCTTAGAGCTGATAGTACTCCATGGTATACATATACCACATTATTAATCCATTCTTGGATTGATGGGCACTTGGGCTGTTTCCACAGCCTGCAATTATGAATTGTGCTGCTATAAACATTCGAGTGCAGGTGTCTTTTTGTAGAGTGTCACTGGATCATTTGGGTAGATGCCCAGCAATGGGATTGCTGGATCAAATGGTAGATTCACTTGTATCGCTTTCCGGTATCTCCATATTGCTTTCCACAGAGGTTGAACTAGTTTGCAGTCCCACCAGCAGTGTAGGAGTGTTCCTCTCTCTCCGCAACCACGCCGCATTTATTGTTTGGAGATTTTTGATAAAGGCCATTCTCACTGGGGTTAAGTGATATCTCATTGTGGTTTTGATTTGCATTTCCCTGATGATTAGAGATGTTGAGCATTTCTTCATATGTTTGTTGGCCATTCTTCTGTCTTCTTTAGAAAAATTTCTGTTCAAGTCCTTTGCCCACTTTTTAATGGGGTTATTTGATTTTTTCTTCCTAATTTTCGTGAGTTCTAAGTATATTCTAGTTATCAGTCCCTTATCGGATGCATAGGATGCAAAAATTTTCTCCCATTCTGTAGGTTGTCTGTTTACTTTCATGACTATTTCTTTGGCTGGAGATGCACTTTCTTGTCATGGCTGCCGCCCCAGACCCCCTTTGCACCCCTGCTCTTCTCTCTGGAGCGGCCAGCCTGCTCAGCGCTCAGCGCGCACTCGGGAAGCTTCGGGTGAGGAGTTCACCATATACCAGGCCCTGGGAATGTGATCAGGCAGGGGCGGGAGGGGGGGTCCAGTAGTGTTGTAATCCTATTTTTTGTTTGTTTTTTCCCCCTTAGAGTTGCACCCCACCCCTACTCCCCACCTACCATTGTTTAAACTTCTGGATCCTTCCCCCTCCCTGGCAGCTCTGCGAGGGCCGGCTTGGGATGGGGGGAGGTGAGAGAGACCCAGCATTTGGCAAGTCAGCTGCCAGTACAATGCCTTCGCTGGGATTTATGAGCTCCTGTGGAAAATTCTTGAGGACATTGGGGTTCACGCCTGTTTCTGGGCCATTCTGCAGCCTACTCTCAGTGAAGCACGATTTTAAATAAACATTTCCAGGAAGCCACTCTGCTCCAGAAAGTAGCATTGTTTTCCGGTGGGATGGTTGCTCCCTTCAGGGAGTTGGGCTTGGCGGAAACTGGCCGGGGTGGGGATCTTTCACTGGCCCCACTTGGGCTGACTTAGCAGCAGAAACTCTGGGAATGTTCTGCAGCTTTTCTTTCCCAAATTTCCACATCTAGGAGGGCCATGGGATGACTTCCTTGCATTTCCCTGGGGGAAGCGTGGGCAGTGCTGCGGGACTGCGCACGCGCAGGCAGGCACAGGCCCGGCGGGAACTCGCCCTCTGGGGTTTGCAGTTCTGGGGGCAGGGGCTGGGTGGACACTAAACGAAATACAATTGTAAAATATAAAGTATGGTAGAGGATGAAGTGTGCTTTGGAGAAAATGAAGCATTAAAGGGGGAAGACAAGTGTCAGGTGGAAGGAGAAGGCCTCGTGGAGAGGTGACACTTACTAGACCCGAGGAGTTAGGGAGTGGCCATGCTGCTGCCTGGGTGACTGTGCACCAGGCTGAGGGACAAGTAAGTGCTAAGGCTCTGGAGGCAGGAGTGTCCCTGGCGTGGATGGCCTTTGCGAGTGTTTGCTGAGTGTGAGCACACTAAAAAAGCTGGTGTGAGTGCCCGCTGGAGAGCGCAGTCTGCAAGCCAGAGGACCCGAGTTTTCTGCTGCCATCTCCCCAGTCCCAGGAAAGCAAGGACCTTCCAGAGGCAACAGCTGCTCAGCAGGGCAGCTGCGGTGAACCTCGACTGTCTGCTACAACCCACGTGCTCTCTGACGGTCCCACGGCCTCACAGCTGTGCTGAGTGTGCTGGCTGGCCCACTGTAGGGGGGTGTCTGTGGGCTGCGCGGAACTGCTCTGTGGGCAGAGCGACCTCTAGAGAAAGGGCATCGTGGCCGCCAGAGGAGGTGGAGAGCCTCTTCCCACTCTCCTCTTGGGGTGCCCTGGTTCCTGCCTGATGTCTACATTGAGGACAACTGGAGCTCACAGGGTGCCCCGTGTCACCAGTGCACAGTGCCCCTTGTCCCATGGACATAAGAGCCAACATAACCAGCTCGGTGACTGCCCACCTGGCACCCCGACTCTTCTGTTCTGGCATCTGGCACAGGCAGGGACATGTGGATGCAGGGCTTTCCCAGAGACTCAAAAGACTGGAACACGCCTGGACATACACAAGAAAGGAGAGCCAAACGTGAGCCGGTCACCCCTGCTGAAGAAGTAGCGCAGGGTGTGTGCACTCGAGGCTAGAGTGGGCTCAGATAGAACAGGCAGGTAGTGATTTGAGGAGTATCTAGGATCTCATGCTCAAAACCCACCTCTTCTAGGGCTTTAAATCCCATCAGTAGCAATTCATTCCTGTGAGAGATCATACAGTGATGTAGAAAGAGGATTGGCCTAGAAAGAAGACCTGGCTCATGTCCCCTCCCTGGACGTCATTCCATAAAATGAGGAGGTTAGGCTGGCCATTCTGCAAGGCTCCTCGCAGCGCTAGCACGCGGTGAGGCTGTGGTCAAGTCCATCCGGAGGGATGTGCGGGAAGGGAATCTGTAGAGGGAAACGGTCTGTGCTGACAGGGCCTTTGTGGGCCCTGCAGCCTGTGCAGGGTCCACTGGGGAACTTCCAGTAAAGCATAGCGGGACGAAGCCGCACACAGAGGTCAGGGGCCTGGGGCCAAAGTGGCAGGGTCACTGCCCAGCTCAGCTGGCCTCCTGGGGTCATCTGTGGGGTGCCTGTGGGTGGTTCTTGACCCAGACCTGGCGGCTTGGGAACAGAGTCTCCAGGGGGCTGTGTGGGTACGGTGGGGAGGCCGGGGCAGGGAGAGGGCACCCCAGCAGTTCTAAGAGGGAACCAAAGCTTACCCAAGGATCCAATCACCTGCCTCGCCTGAGGAGAGAGGAGACGGTGGGTGCTCCAGGAAGAGCTCCCTCTAGCCAAGCAAAGGCCTGCGCAATGCCGTCCTCGGTTATATAACTAAACACACTCGGTTGTGCAAACAAATTCCCACTGAGCAGCTTCCTCCACCCTCGAGGCTTATTTACTGTCCTGAGGGAAGTCACAGTTCACCCTTTCTCACCCGAGCTGTAACTCCTGCAGTCTGGCCTGCCAGGCTCCATCAGGTCGTCCAGAGACCTGGGCGGAGTCGTGGTGCCCCAGCTGGTCTTTCCAGACCATAGTGACAAGGGCAGCTCGGGGTAGGCTGACTCTCTTACTAACCCTTTGGGGGGAAGTGGCAGGACCCACTTGCCGGGCCAGGTTGTCCCTGTGAGGAAGCAGAGCAGACCCAGCAGACACAGCCAGTCACCGGTAGGGGCACAGTCACCAGGGGAGGGAAGCGGCCCTGCTCTCTCCTGGCCGTGTGCCCCACGGAGCCAGGTCTTGCAGCCCCTGCCAGGAAGGCTGTTCTCAGGGTTGCAGTGATACCCTGTCAAGCTGGAACATCTTAATTTCAGAGTTACCCTCAGGACTCTGGATTGAACTTCAGAAGTATTTTTAGTGTTTTGGGACTTTTTATTCCTTTTTGTAACCTTGGCATTGCCATAAGATAAACACCGCCAAGGTCAAACAACCCAGCGTCTTCCTGGGAACTCTGCCGGGTGGCCTTGGCGCTGCTCCCTGGGAAGCACTCACAGCGACTCGGCTTCCTGTGCTCTGCCTTACACACTATTCAGGAAGCTTCGAGACCGCAGAGCACGTTGCTGAGGGAGGGAAGGAGGTGCAGAGAGCAGTTAATGGTGTAATGTGTGGCGCTGCTATTGTCCCCTGGAGTAGGAGCCTGTCCCTGCCGAGGATGGAAAGGCCTCCGTGGAGCGGGGAACTGCCTTCTGCTTGGGGTTTTCGCTGGTAATTTAGAACCAGTGGGAAACTCACAGCTCTTATTTTAATTGGCAGAACGTGAGACGGAACAGGGCATAAGAACAGGAACCCTGCGATGCGGAGAGCGCCTTGACCTTCTTGCATTATGCAACGTGAAACGTGCACGGAGGGTCAGAAGGTCGTGTAAATGAGTTTGCGTGGCCTTTAAAGACTGCGGCCGGCCATGCCCTC